TCATTTAGAACTAATCTTTTCTTGCTGTACGCATTCTTCTTTAGGATGTCGAGCTTCGTAGAATATTTTAATTTTTAATTTTAAAACCATTTTACTTTTATTAAATTTTAATTCATTAACAATTCTTTTTAACGTGTGATTTATGAGGAAAATAAAATGATGTTCCCATTATTATTATTATCAGAGTTGAATTGAACAGAGTTGCAATTCAAATTTACAAGAAAGTATTTGATTCAGCAACTGCCAACAAACTCAAATTTGTTTAGATGGGGGAAATCAAGTAACGACTTATGTAATGCGAAACAAACACGTCCTTTCAAACTGCAGCTCAGCCGTTGCCCTAAGAAGATATATGGAGCGCCACAACAAAATTCTCACCTTGATTGTGGACCACCTAAGGTCGTGTGTGAAGTCGGAGCTGACCTTATTTTCGGATCTGGATAAGGAAACAATACGCCCAGTATCGCAGGTGTTTAATTCGCTCCGTTCTGACGTTGCCATGATCAGCGGTAACACGATTGAGATCCTGGAGCTGACGGTTTGTCCCGAGACAAACTTCGCTACATCTGAACTGTACAAACATGAAAAATACAATAACAATCTCAAAAATGATTTGTCAAACGATTATTTAAATTTTAATATCATGATTAAAACTTTCGACATTAGCCCAACGTTTTAGGTTATCATTAATTGATTTAACTTACCAAGTCGATTTTAAAGATAACTTAACGAAGTGTGTAATTAATTCATCATACGAGATATCCTGTGATAGGAACAATACATGAACAATTTTTATATAATTTTTTTTATCATCCTTGTACTCGTATGTAAACGATGAGCATGGATGACTGTAAGCATTTTGTATATTTATGATAATTGATTTTATATTTTGAGGTTTGATGATAATAAAAACAGTTCCCATTATTATTATTATTATTGTTATTATTATTATTATTATATAATCTGCACAAATCGTCATTACATTGGGCTGAAGCCAATGCATTTCTCCATATAGAACTACTAAAGCGTCTCGATGACGACGGCTTCGCCATTGGTTTTCAAAATACAATCTACTCATATTTTACGTCCAACTGTGGTACATTAGCAAAAGATTCAAAACCTGGTGAACACAGAAATTGCGATATTCGACGCTTAAAAACAAAATTAAAATACTTAAAGACATTGGCTCAGTCAGACAGCCTACTCAACAATGACGTCGTGATGCTCAACAAACAAATAAGGGAAATATTAAAAACAAATAGACTGAATAAAAAAAAGCAACAACATTTCAACAAAACTCAAACAAAACTTCTGGTAAACATGTAACAATATTTTTAACGACTCGAACTCTCAATCGCCACTTTCCAATATCAAAACCGCCACCAACTTCTTTAGAAATCTTCTCAACGTAGACTATCGCAACACGTTTCGTCTTCCAGATTGGATTGCTCCTCTTTCTGCTCCTTCATTTCAAGGAAATTTAAATCCGCCAACTTACACCGAGATCACAGCTATTGTGAGGAAAAGCAAAACGAAAGCATCTCCTTGTCCACTGGACCAAATTTCAATCATAACTCTCTAAAGATGTCCAATATTAAGAACATACCTTCACAAATTGTTTCTAATGTGTTGGGCTTTCTACAACAATTCCACGATGCTGGAGTAGAGAATTGACGGTCCTGATCTACAAGAAGTGTGCAACTGACCCATCCAATTTCCGTCCGATTAATCTTCAAACAGTACTCTACAAAATATTTTAAGTTCTTATAAAACCGAGACTACAATTTTCTTGACAAAAACAACTTCGTCAGCAAAAATATTCAAAAGGGCTTTTACCCAACTGTCGATGGACCAGCCGAACACACCCAGATGCTAACTCATCTATTTAAAAAAGCCAAATGTCATCAACGTACCATTGTTGTTGCATTACTAGATTTGAGAAATGTCTTTGGAGGGGTAAACCATCATCTCATTACTTCAATCTTAAAATATTACCATATTTCATTATCTAATAACATCAATATATTCCAGCTATATTCTAGATATCAGTATCGGTTAACGGTGAATTGACGCAAACAATACCGGTTAGAAAAGGTGTGCTCCAAGGAGACTCATGTTCACCGCTGCTTTTTAATATTTGTTTTAATCCTTTTATGAAAATCTTGGACAGCAATGAGTATAAACAATATAGCTATCTCTGGAGCCCAACTTCCGACATAAATACTAGAGCAGGGCTCCAATTTGCCAACGACTCGGCAATTATAGCACACAGCACTGATGGAGCACTGATCGATTTAAATCAAGTTTGGTGTAGCTGGTCAAAAATGGGAATGAGAGTTGATAAATGCTGCTTTTTTGGAACGAGGAAAAAAAATGGCACCTATGATCAGTTTTTACCACGACTAACGATTGATGATGTACAAATCCCTAACGTGGAGATTGGCCAATCTTTTACATACCTAGGCAAGTCATACAATTTTAAATGCAAAGACTCCAAAGCAAAAGGCGAGTTAAAGTCAAAAGTCATTCAGCCGTTGGAAGAGATTTCAAAATTAAATGTGGGCCCACAGCAAAAACTCTAAATTCTAAAAAGATTTGTTCTCTCACAGCTGAATTTTAAACTTTGAAGCTACAGCTTTTTGTTGACTTGGATAGCGGAAAACCTGGATAGTCTAATTGTTGAAGCTGTCCGAAATTGGCTAGATATGCCAAATAGCGGCTGTGTAGCAGAACTTATTTTGCTGCCAGCAAAGATTGGAGGCCATTACATTATGTCGCAAAAAGATGCCACAGAAAGAACGAGATTAAAGCTGCGCAACTTTTTCAAAACTGGTCAGAACAAAGAAATTCAATGCTTATACAAAGAATCGACAATCGATTATATCAAGATCGACAACACTCTCTCAAAATCAGGTACCCTAAAATTATCGCTCAAACAATTATAAAAAGAAAGAATTGAATCGTGTTTCAACTATATCATTTCGCTGAAAAGTCAGGGTACAATTATCTCCAAAATAAAAACCGCCATCAAAGCTAGCAACATTTCTCGTTGATCAAAAACTACGAAAAATCTTGCTGGAGCCCTCTTTAAATTTGCTAGAAATTATTTGGTTTAGCCACTGCTGACAAACGCTAGTTTGTTTATATGGGGCAAAACACCAAGCCCTCTATATCCTCTCTCTGGCTCTCGGCAGACAAATAAGCATGTGGTTTCTAACTGTAGTTCCAACTCCTCTCTAGCAAGATACACCGAAAGACACAACAAGATTTTAGCCGCGATCACCAACCGGTTGAAAGTATGTGCGCCTGCCAATTGTCGGTTATTTGCAGATTTGAAATTTGACTGTGTTCAGCCTCTATCGGATCTGTTCAACAATCTACGTCCCGATATAGCCATACTGAAAGGCGACACAGTCGAGATTTTGGAGTTGACGGCGTGTCATGAAAGCAACCTAGAATCATCCAGACAATATAAAATAAATAAATATTCCAAGAATTTGCATAGCTTTTTAAATGACATTTACAAACACTGCTCAATGATTATAAATACTTTTGAAATATCTTCAGCTGGTTTCTATAATAACTTTAATCTTTTATTGTTTAAAATTATGTGGCCGGTTTCTTTTAATGATGAGTTTATAGAGACTGTTATAAGGTTATCATACGGTATTTATTGCGACAGAAACAATTTATGATATAAATTTGAATATATTTTACCGCTCTGTACTTTTATTTTGGATTGAGCATAGTGGTTTTATATTGACATTTTATTATTTTACCATTTCATAGTATTAATTATTTATAACCCTGGTTTTTAATAAAAGAGTTCTCATTATTATGGTTTATAAGTCACACAGCTTTTAAAAGCTTAGATAATAGATGGATCCAAGTTTCATTCAGAAACCTCAGGATTTCATGCGAGTACTTTCCTCAAGATGTCGGCAGTTCCTAACGGTGCAATTTTTAAACCTCAACCACATTAGGTTTTCCAGGTATTTCTTTTAGATTTTTTTCCAACTACATCCTTACTACTCCCATTGCTTTAACTACCACAGATATTGTTCTAGATTTTACTCCCACATCCCTGAAATTTCAATTTTTATATCTCGGTATTTCATATATTTTTCATTCTTCTTTGCTATGATATTTCTATATTCTGATATGTCAATCAAAAGGCATTTTATGTATTCTTATTCCATTTTATGTATTCTTATTCCCGCCATTATTGTTTTGTCTGTTATTACAGTAACATCCCACATCAACGCGACTTCATCCGTTTGGACAACTTTTTCTGGTTTGTGTTTTTAGTATTTTTCAGTCACTGTATATTTAATTTCTTTACACATTTTACAGTGGATATAGCTTGCCGCTTTGTTGGGGCCGATTAAGATATTCAATTGGTGCAAGCGCAGAAGAGCCAACTATAATATGTCCAATATATTTTTCTGTTTTATGACGCATTCTACATTAGGGTAGGTCGTCCCAAAACTTTTTTTAAACTATTGACTATGAATAGCAATAAAAAGTTGCTCTAGCATATATGGATCACATTTGGAATAAAATTAAAAAAAAAATTTTGTTTAACTTTGCCGCCAGGGCCTTGAAAAATGACTTAAATTTGCCATTGAAATAAGCTCATATAATATATAACATTATTTCTATTCAATGCCAATTGTTTGATTAATATTAAAACCAAGATTTACATTTTATTATTTTGTTAAATTGTTTCCAAATTATTTTTTTTTTGTAAAAAAAAATATTTTTTTTTGTAAAAAAATTATTTTTTTTTGGATTTTTTTTTATAAAAATGCATTTTTTTGTAAAAAAAAACACAAATTATTTTTTTTCGTAAAAAAATTTCAATAATTGGAGTGATACAGTTACACAACATACTTTTCGGTATATTTGATAATTAAAAGACACTGTTTTTTGCATATAAGAGAAAGACATTGAATTTTATTATATTATAATATATATTTACTATTATAATATTATCAGTTTCAGTTAATCTCTCCTCTTTTCCAATCCTTCTTCAAACTAAAATGTGGAATTTCTTTTCTTGATTCTAATTTTGCTCTTATATATCTATCACGTCTCAGAGCACCACAGACTGGCGATGATGCTTCGGTTACCAACTTTACATGTCGTTCCACGCTTTGATTATGGCAAGGATATTTTTTTAGTGTCCACTTCCAAGGTACTTTAATTGCTGCTTCAATTTTTTCATCACTTATATCTCGTAGCATAGGTGGCGAGGTTCTTGGAACGTCTTGCCAATTTAGAAGACAATAGTATTCGGCAGCCTCAAAGTTAAGAGAAGGACATTGAAATTTTCTGATTTTACCTTCACCAGGTGCTGTGGCTTTTCTTGCACATTTAATTTGTCCGGCTGCAAGTTCTCTTATCTCTGTCATCCAGCAGATTGCTGTTAGAATATTTTCTGGGTGACCAAAAAAAGCATTTCTTTGAATACATTTATTTATTATCTGGAGTTCAATTTTAGGAAGAAAACGCGTAAATTGAATCAAGCGCCACAGGTGCTTAGCATCCATATAACACTGAGGTTGTATTTTTGTAAAAAAAAACCGTAGTGGAGCATAAACTATTAGAATGTAGTCCGTGGGCAATGTGAGTTCTTTAGAAGATGACGTGGTTGAAACATACATTTTGGCTGCTGTATGCCAACGTGAATGGATTAAAAGGACCAGGTTTTTTAGTCAGTTCTTTTTATACTTTTCCAATTTCTATTGCTTTAACTATGTTGAAAAGATACTGCTGATATTTGTGATATCTTATAAAAGTGTCGGCAAATTATTCTGTCGTTTTTCAAATTTTACAACAGTTAACTCATGACATTTTCAAGTGCTTTCCCTGTTGCTCCACAAAAAGCTTTTGTGGAGCAATAGGCTCTTTAATTTGGCTCCTAAAGTAACGTAATATGTTTTTCAACAAAAAAGCTCTTGCTACAAGTTAATGACGTACAAATAGTTTTGTCTTTTCTTCCATCAAAGGAAATTGACTTTGGACCTGCAGCAGCTAGAGTTATCTTTGCTTCATACGTTAATTTGGCTCGAAGCCGTTGCCTTTGTCGTCTCAGCTTTGAGCGGTCAATAATAGCTGTCCTATCGTTTTTTTTATAACTCCATAGTCTGTGAGGGCAGCTATAGCTATAGCAGCTCCTGCAACATCAGATACGCCATACCTATCGCATTCTCTAGCCACTGTAGGAAACTGGAGTATATTTCTAAAAGATTCTGCGTGAGACGCCTTGGACTTTTCCCAAACTCTTTGTTTTTAAATTTCTTTTAACACACGTTTTAAATCAATCACTAAACTTTATATAAAAAAAACCGTTCTATTTCATTTGATGAGGAAGAGCATCGACCAATTTGAACATGCGTCACAACTACCAGAATTGGAAGCCCAGTTATTCCTAATTTTAGTAATTGCAGTTGTTTATAACTATTTCCAAATTTATTATTAATTATTAGTAGAGCATCTCGATAACGGTGTTTATTATTTCGAATGAATTAAAAAATTAATATTGCCGTGAACGAGAAAATTATGTCCTTGCAATTATTAATTTTCTTCATTTTAATCCCTAAAATAAGAAGTGTAGTTAGTAATTTGGAGTATTTTTATAATTCCTAAAATGACTAATAATAAAAATGATTACTCTAATCATTAATTATAACTTTAAATTAAAATTAATTGTTTTACTATTATTAAATGCCAATCTTGCTCCACCTGGCGGCAAAGGAAGATGAGTCTTGATTTTGAAAAAAATTTTCATTTTATACTAGATCCATGCTATAGCAACTTTTTATCACTATTCACATTCAATTTTTTTCTGACGACCTACCCTATTCTACATGACACATTTGCAACATCTTCTAAAATACGTTTTTAAACCCTCTTGTATTTAACGTTTGATCTTGGGCAGCAATTATTAAGCTTTCTGTTTCACCTTTTAACAGCCCTTTTTTTCAGCCAGGGTACAGATAATTCTGTTACCATCTTTTATATCTTGATCTCTGAAAAATTGCCCTTGGAGGGGTTTGCTTTTGATTTGTATAAGACTTTCTTTTTAATAGATTTGAACTTTGTAACAATTTCTTCATTTGTCAGTGTTGTTTGATTCAATTTTCCTAATATTTTTTTTATTCTTTTTGCAACGAAAATTTCTTCTTCATTTCATCAACTTATTGTACATATTTAAATAGTAATCATTTTTACTTTCATCACTTTCATAAGTCCTCTTCCATGAATATTCATAAAAATATATATTTTATCTTTATCTGCCGTCAGATGATGAAAACTATTAATTGTTAGTAGCTTCCTGGTTTTTCTGTCTATTTTTTCAATTTCTGATCTCAAGCAATTTAAAATACCAAAACTATATGCCAAAACTGGGACAGCGATACCATCGATAGCTATTTTTTTATTTTTACTCTTTAATTGAGTTTTTTAATTCTATTGTAGTATTCTTGTTTAATTTTAGTTTTTACTATCTTCTGTTCTATCCCGCTATTTTTTCCATTCCAATGTGTTTATAAACTTCACTTGCTTCAATACTTTTAAGTTTCCTTTCATGCAAGAGTACAATATCTCTTACCTTACAATTACTTTTTTCTACACCTTTCAACTGCAATGTTGCACACTTATCAACACCAAATTCCATTCTGATGTCATTACTAAACTGTTCTCAACTTTTACATTTTGCTTCATATTTTCATAATTTGAAGTAAATAATTTTATGACTTATTTGTGTTAATTTATTAAGTTTAAAACCAAGTTTAATGTTATTAGTTAAACCAGACAATGGCATTAGGATCATTCAAAACAGCAACGGTGATGTAGCATCTGCTTGTGATATTCCTCGTGCTATTCTAATTATTCCTGATCTGATGATTCATTATGCCACAAATTCAAAATTGCTCTCCAGCTTTTTATTTAATGTTTTATAAAATTCACTATAATCTTATTAATTTTGTATATTTTAATTACTTCTGTAACCCAAAAATGTGGTACACTGTCATATGCTTCTTTATAGTCAATCCATGTTATGCTCAGATTTTTTTAAAATTTTGTTGCGTTTTCCACCACTTATTGGCTTATTAATAACTAGGGATGCACCGAAGTTCGGCCCCGGCCAAAATCCGGCCTTTTTTTTCAAATCAGGCCGGATTTGGTGGCCGAATTTAGGGCCGGATTTAAGCGTCTATCAACATTTAAAAATTTTATAAATTGAAAAAAAAATTTTGTTGAATTCGATTAATTTCATGTCAACAAGTTAAAGGCTAAGCATACATGACACATAATAACAACATCACTAATTGTGAGGTGAGCTGGACAATTTTTTGTGTGCTATAACATGGGTTATGCATAAATTATAAGCTGATTTTTGTGCAAAAGAACTTGTGCACGTGATATACACTACATAATTGTATATTACGGATGATATAGCTACATAATATATATATATATATATATATATATATATATATATAAGCGCATAATTTAAAAATATGGTATGTTAAAGGTTAGGCTAGGCTTACATGGTACATAATAACAGCATTACTAATTGTGAGCTGAGCTGGACAATTTTCTTTGTGCTATAACATGGGTTATGCATAAATTATAAGCTGATCTTTGTGTACAAGAAATTGTGCACTTATATATAATAGTATATGACGGATGATGCAGCTATAAAGCGCATAATTTAAGAACAATACATTTATAACCAAATATTGAGCATTTTTTATTATTGGTGAATTTTATAAAAATGGCTGAAAAGAAATAATAATAAACTTTTTTTGTACACTGGAATTTTTTCAATAAAAAACAATCAACACTTAATGCTTTGTGTTATTTTTTGGTGTTCAACATGTAGATAACCGTAAATGTGAGTATTTTTTCTAACGTATGTAAAATAGTAACTAAAATCCGGCCCCGGCCGGTTTTTGAATTTTAAATCCGGCCAAGTCCGGCCCCGGCCGGATTTGATAAACCTAAATCCGGTGCATCCCTATTAATAACTGCTTCTTTACAACTCCTGGTATTTTTTTGGCATTCTTGTTTTTCTTCAGGAAAGATGTTGTTTTCTTGGAGATGAGCATATATTTTTTGTGCTAGTAAGGTGGTGAGTAATTTGTACAGGGTCGGTAGGCAAGTAATTGGACTGTAATTTTTTGGATCACTTTAATATCATTTTTCGCAATCTAATATGTTGTTCCAAATGTCATCCACTTTGGCATTTTTAATAGTGTATTCATCATCTTATTGAATAAACTTATTAAATGTGGATGTAAAGCAGTTAGGTATTTGAACCAGAAATTATGCATTTTATCAGGGCCTGCCGCCTTTCAGTTTTGTGTATTTCAATAGTAAACTCATCCAATTTTTCTGTCTTTATATTAGATCCCATAACTTCTTCATCTTTGATCCAATCAGCTGAGTCATTATGATGGATATTCTGTTCTAAAATTTTTTTCCAGAAATCTTAAATTTTTTAAATTTCAGGTAACACATTTGTGTCTTTTTATTTTCTTTTAACTGCCTAAAAAAGATCTTTTGATTTTCATTGAACTGCTTTTATGATGAAAAATCTGCCCTTTTTGCAAACCTTCTGAGTCTTTTTATAACTTCATTTTTAACTGTTTCAATCAATCTTCGTTTTGCGTCCAGAGACCCGGTTTCTCGAGGTAGGACGTTGTTCTCTTTGCCATCAACTTTTTGCGCCAAATTAGACGATCAGTTGTATCCATTTCATTTAAATTTAGAGCTTTCATGTCTTGCTCGATTGTATGCGACCAGGACTTCTTTGGACGGCCTTTGGGACGTGCTAGGTACTTCAACATCTGCAAGAGAAGTTATGGCACTGTTTCCACTTCGTTTGACATGACCAAACCACTGCAGACGGTGTTGCCGGTATTCGTCCTTTTTATCATCTAAACTAGCACGACGCAAGATTTTGGTAGATTTGATGTGGTCTTTCAGACTAATTCGTTGCATCCATCGGAGCATTTTCATGTCGGTTCGTTGAAGTTGTTTTTCCAGTTTGGTTGTCATTGGCCATGTTTCTGCACTATATAACAACACCGGACGTATCACAGATTTATAAAGTCTTGATCGTAATGGTAGTGGGATGTCACGCCGCATCAATATAGAGGCAAGGAGATGCCATTTAATCCAGGCTGCACGTATGCGTGCTCGAACGGCAGCTTCAGCTGTTCCAGTACAATCCAGAACATCCCCTAGATATTGAAACGATGTGACTATCTCTACCTTAATGGCTTCAAAAACAGTGCTATTTCGTATTTATTGTTGTGGATTGATGCAAGCAGGACAAACAAAATTGGACACTTTAGATAAAGTACCGATTATTTTTGAACAACGATTGTGACACCACTGGTTACACTGCTGACACTTGATTGAATTGTTACCAACACCAGCTTTACAAACTGAACAGGGCCATCGCCCAGTAGCTGTGGATTGGATGGGTTCACCAGTGATCATTGCTTTGGTTTTGCTGATGTTGTTGCGAGTTTCTTTAGATATAAGAAACAACAAGTAGGAATGTTTATAACGTATTTATTTACGTAATAAAAATAAACGAAAACGTGTTCGGCAATGCAATTAGACAAAGAGAAGTTCGATCGTAAAATGTCGCAGGAAGAAGGGCTGTTGTCTTTGTGTTGAAGCTAGTTATTATAGTACGTCACATGCTTAGGTTAGGGATGTGCGGCTCAACAATGTTGACTTTGAATCCATGATCGGCGAGTCTGGTGTTCCAATCTTCAAACATCTGTGCTGCATTCTGCTCAGACGTGGCTGTTAAAACGATATTATCAGCATATATTAGATTCCAAATGTCACCAGTGCGTATCGGTTTTGTGATTTCTTCCATCACAGTTATAAAAAACAGTGGACTGAGAATCGAGCCTTGGTGAACTCCAACGCCGATGTCAAATGCATCTGTGTTTCCAACCGTTGTGCTGACAAGAGTCTTAGTATTCGTATACATTTCCATCACAATTCGAACAAGATATTCTGGAATGAGTTGTCGACGTAGACTCCACCTGATTGCTTCACGGGGAACTCGATCAAATGCTTTTTCAAGGTCTACAAAAATGTGTGATAGTTGTTGATGCTTCGCGAGGTACTTCTCTTGCAGTTGCTGAAGGATGTGAATTGCATCAATTGTTGATTTCCCCGCTAGGAAACCAAATTGATAATTTCCGATTGTGATGCACGACGTTAATTTTCTCTCAATGATTTTCTCGACAATTTTCAGGGAGTGTTCTAACAGACGTATACCCCTATATAATGAACAGTTCATTTTTAACTGTTTCAATATCTTTCAAATTTTTTTGTTGTTAATTATTATTTTTTCAACATAATTTTTAATCTTTGTGGCATTATTTCCATTACTTCGATTAATGATAACTCATTTCTGAATATTTGAACCTTGGATTGTATTCTCATCTTCCATTTTGGTCTTCTGCATTTACTATTTTTATTTTTGCTTTCACTTGATTTTTTTCCGCAGATTAACATACATAATTTCATTCAATTTACTTTGGTCTAAATGCATTTGTGAGGTAATTATTATTATCATTTGTCATCATTTTCATTTACAATTATCTATTATCACAATCATCATCACCATCATCATCATCAATCATCATCATCATCATCATCATCATCATCATCATCATCATCATCATCATCATCATCATCATCATCATCATCATGACACTATCAAGGCGTGATCATGATGATGATGAATTTATAAACAATTGTTTTTAAATAGAAGAAATGATATACCGCTGTTTCAAAATAATTAACAGTTGAGTTCTTCTGCTTAATTTTCGCTTTTATTGCCATGAGAATAATGTTGGTGTTGTTGTTGATGTTAATGTTAGAGTTGTTGTTGTTGATGTTGTAGTTGTTGTTGTTGTTGACGTTGTTGTCCATGTTGTTTATGTTGTTGTTGCTCATGTTGCTGTTCTTATTGAAGCTGTTGTTGCTGATGATATTGTTGTTCATGTTGTTCATGTTGTTGTTATTGTCGCTGTTGTTTGTTGTTGTTGTTGTGTCGATTTGATGTTGTTTTGTGGTTTGTTCTGTTCATGTTTGTTTCTTTTACTAACAAAATGATTAACAACGAACAAACTCATTAACAACAACTGATTCTTTTTATGAATGATGATATCGGCCATGTTAGCATGTAAACAATGCATCACTTAATTACATATTTTCATAATTAATGGGTGCTTGTGACATGCGAACTTGATAATATTAAATATTAATAATAATGAGAACTCTTTTATTTTCAAAGCCAGGGTAATAAGTGATTAAAACAACGAAATGTTAAAATAATGAAATTTCAATAAAAACCACTATACTCATTTCAAAAAAAGTACAGAGAGGTGAAGTATGATCAAATTTATATAATAAATTGTTGCTGTCACAATAAATGCCGTATGATAGCCTCACAACAGTCTCTATCAACTCATCATTAAAAAAGATCGGCCACAAAATTTTAAACAATGAAAAATTAAAGTTATTATAAAAACAAATTGGCAATATTTTGAAAATATATGTAATTATTGAGCAGTGTTTGTAATTGTCATTTAAAAATCTATGCAGTTTATCTGAATATTTATTTATCTCGTATTGTCTGGATGATTTTAGGTTGGATTCATGAAACTGCGCATGTTAACTTCGAAATCTGCACTGTGTCACCTTGCAGTATGGCGATGTCGGGTCGTAGGTTGTTGAACACATCTGATATAGAGTGAACATCGTCAATTTTCAAATCTGCAAACAGCCGACAATTGGCAGGCGCACATAATTTCAACCGGTTGGTGATCGCTGCTAAAATTTTGTCATTGAACCACAGTTTGAAACGACATGTTTATTTATTTGATGAACGTTGCAAAGTGAACATAAGGGAGTTGTAGTTAAACTCCATTTAAACAAATTCGAATTTGTAGGCAGTTATTGGGCCAGATATTTTATATTTTATAAATCTGTAAACTAACCCAGATACCTTGTCCGTGATTTTGGACAAACTTGTAATTTGTGCTGGGGTAATTAGTTCGCTAATTGATTTGAGTATAATCCCTTGAGATTGCAATTCGCTGATGTAGTTAACTCTGCGTTCACTCTGCAGTCTTCGAAAAATTTGAGTGAGCCTATTTCATCCAGGAACTATCCGACTTGATAAAATTTGAAGTGATTTCGCGCCACAAGCATTGGATTTCATCATTGGCGTGGTTTTTCAGATAACTTTCAGTTTTTTCTGCGGTCTCTCTTAGCGACACAATGCTGTCGCCACCAGGCTTCATTGGTAGCGAAAGTATCCGCGATGCACAACCACTGATTGGCAAATATTGAATAATCTGATGAAATGTTAATATCGAATTTGTAAGAAAGTGGTTTGCTCCGCTAAAAACATTTTTTAAGTCGTATTGGGCAACGATAATTGTTCGTTGATTTTTTTCTGGCATCTTTTAGTGGTGGGTCAACATCTGTGTGTGCTCTGCAAGCCATCAGCCTCTGAATAGAATCATTTTTAAAATGCTGGTCTTCATGAATTTATTTTAATGGAGAAAATTTAATGTTTATCAATGAAGATAGAATTTTGTAAAGAACGAGTTAAAGAGTGATAGGTCTGAAATTTGCCGGATCGTTGACATCTCTTTTTTACAAATTAAAATGGTTAAACCTCTTCTCCAGCAGCTTGGAAATGTAGGATAATAACAGTAATAATAATAATAGTAATATACATGTTTTTGTTTGGAAGACGTTCCACCGCGTGACATTATTAAATGTAACACAAGCAAACAGGAATGTTTGTGTGTTAATTCCACATATCTTGCTTAACTTAGTTTTTTTCCCATGAAGAAAAAAAAATTTTACAGAGCGTCTCGAATATGCCAACATATCTATAAAAGCATGTATAAATTGATAAAAGTTACATTACACACACACACACACTATATACACACACACACAGACACACACTATATATATACACACACACACTATATGTATACACACACACACATAACCACACTATATATATATATATATATATATATATATATATAGTGTGGTTATGAATTATTATTAATTTTAATATTTATACAAAACTCAAAACTAATCATCCTGTACACGTGTATAGAAATAGCGTTGCATGTAATGTAACAACACACAGACAGAATATAATTTAATGCAAATTTTCCATTTTGTTTAATTTTTTAGTACAACTATTTATCACGGATGGAAATAGCACAAGATTGTGTCACACAAGCGTACACACACATACATACAAACGATACGACACATACACACATAAACACATACACAAAAAGACACACACACACACACACTCAAATACTTGCAGTTGAATATTTGTTTGCACAGCATTAGAAGTTCGTACATCACAGCACGCTTGACTGAACTGCATCGCACGAACAACATCATGAAGGCAGCTCAACCCTAACTTTGGCGCATTGTTCTGCTGACTTCGCTCGGTCTCACTGGCTGGCTGTTTCTCTTCTGTATTCAATTTCTGTTACTTCGCTTCTTTGTGTGTTCATCTTAATCTGAAACATCATTTTGGCGTGATTTCAGTTGACTTCTTTACTTTTTTGAAATGTTTCTCTAAAACTTAACTTGTTTTATACTTTCAAAAAATGTTTCTGCAATGGCTTGTTTTTTTTTGATAAATTTTGCTACGTTCAACGATGAATCGCATATGGTTTAACTTTAACAGTCTTGAATATCTGCTAACTAAAATAATTAAAGATCATTATATCCGACCATGTACAGTACACAGTAATATATATATATATATATATATATATATATATATATATATATATATATATAAGCCTAAATTTTCCAACTACATATTTACATTTTCACGTACACAAATTCTTTTGAACAACTATATTATACGTATCACATGCATACATCACGTGCGTGCATGTGTGTGTGTGTGTAATGTTCAAGCCAGAGAGGCTCGGTAAAGAGAGTGTGCAGCAGAGTAGATGAGCTTGAATTGAAGAACTTTCATAGAGCGTTGACAACCAGCCTAGCATTGTTTGCCCATTCTTGCGCTTCTCAGACTTCTGATTCTTGTTTTCACTTTTTATTTATTTTTATTCACGTTTTAATGCAAACCAATTGGCTATTTTTATTATTGTTGCTTATTTTTATTTATTTTCATCACGAATTATTCAAATAAGCTCAACAAATCCGCCTAATCTACAATCATTTCGTTGGCCATCATTAATGATAATTTATTTTTTATTTTATTACGGGTAAAAACAAATTTATTAAATTAAAAATATTTTCATTAATAAAATTAATTTGACCATCATTTGGAATATAATTCACTGTTCATTTCTGTTATTTTCAAAAGTTGGCTCGCTAATAGTTGGTTGGCTATGCCAACTTTGGTTGTCATTTTCCACTGTCTTTATTTTATTTTCATGATTACGTTTGGATATTCAAATTTTCATAATAAAAATATACAATAACATAAATAAACTAATTTTGTAATCTCAATGTAGGTTAAAAGGATTTTTATTCATATGACAGACAACATGATAATTATGTAGAAGAAATTAATGAACATTTGAAAAATAATCAATAAAAATTTTAAAACATTTAATAAACTTTAAAATTAACATACACACAAACAAACAAACAAACAACTTATCTCCCAACATCTGCAGGGCGATCGACCCCATCTTTCAGAAAACATGATTTTTTGAACAACTTTTCGACATAAAATTCTTCAACAATAATATCTCCTAGACTAAATTTCTTAAACACTTTTCAAAATCGAAGAATAAAAGAAATTTTAAAAACCTTCACCAGAACAGCTCCATTACATTCCGTGCCAGAAAAAGCCTGGAATACTCAAATTCATTCTTTTACCCAAGTGTGTATATCAGTATTTTGCAAACGCTTTATTATGAACATCATCACATTGAAAAAAATTGTAATAATATTTTTATAAAAAATATTTTAGAATGTTGCCTAACTTGAAAATTGCAGTGTTTGTTGTCTTCTGTGCTGCCGTTAGTGAAAATATTTTAGTTATCAAAAATTTTTATGCAAAAATCTATTTAAACAAAATTTAATAATACATTTTATTGTCTAATTTCAGATGGTTCTTCAGACAGGTTAATTAATTTTTTAATAAATGGGCAATTGGATTTATATTTAAATGTCAATAATGTTTTTTATTAAATATGCAAAACAAAAATAAAACAGAGACTAGAGTTGTTAACAAATAAAATGTTGCAGATGGTCAGAGAACAACACCTGCACCAACGCGAACTACACCATCTTTGCAACTTCCAACAGTGCAAACACCTCAGAAAATTGAAGATCCAACAACACCACGAACAACTCCTGTAAGGTCCACGCCAGACACTTCTTCAGCCAGGACTACTCCCGTAAGGTTGACTCAGCAGCCGGCTAACAACGACGCATCAGCACAACTCACGACTCCAAACTCAAATAACGTCAACAATGGCAATAACTTTCCATTAACTCCAGCACCTAACTTTACAGCAACAACCTTTCCATTAACTCCTGCTTTTAATGCTTCTCTAACTCCTGCACCAAATGCTCTTCAAACTCCTGCACCAAATGCTTCTCAAACTCCTGCACCAAATGCTTCTCAAACTCCTGCGCCAAATGCTCTTCAAACCCCTGCACCGGGAGCCAGTTCACCAAATAATGTTGTCGGACAAAATACACCTATCCCAGTTCTTAATACTACCACTCTTATAATAGCAACTCCTCCTATAAACTCCTCTCCTTTTTCTCAAACCCCATTTGTGAACAGCGCACAGACCACTCTTGTTGCTACTCCTGGTCCCGCTTTTCCTCAAACCCCAACAGCTTCTACTTCTGTGTCAACAACCACTCCTAGAACAACACCAGCCAACACAACTCCTCGATCATCAGTTTCTGTTCCCGTGACGTCGGTAGTTGTTCCATCCATTGCACCAGCGGCTGCATCTACTACCGCACTGGTTACATCGGTTGTTTCAACATTAACTCCTGCGCTTCCAACTGCACTTTCAAGCGCAACGACTACAACATCACAACCATCAACTACTTTTAATATAGGAATAACAACAATGATACCACTAGCAACAATAACGACAACAACAACTTCTACTACAACTACAACTACAAAAGCTTTTGTTAACACTCCTACAGTGACTCCTATAAACATAATTTCATCAACTTTGTTTGCAGCGACAACCATGACTCCCCAGCCCTTCACTCCTCCACCCACTGTCCCAACGATTCCTATAATTCCTACGTTGCCTCCGATGCCAACAATGTTTACAATGGGGCCTACTAATTTTAATACAGCAGCGTTTACAGCACTTCCTCCTGCTAATTCCATAGCGCAAGATGTTAATTCGGCTAACGTGAATATTGTACTGATGTTCTGCAACATGTACACCTACCCATCAACCACCAACGACCAGTATGTTATTCAACTCAGGAATCAAATTGCCAATTACATCGGCAATGGTTTTGATCAGTATCGCATCGCTCAAATCACTGTCAGCTCAAATCCTGATTCAGGTTCATTCATTTTTTCTTAATTTTTAAAGTGGTCGTCACTTTCTTTGCAACATATTATTAAAAAAACCAAATAACAGGTCAAATGGTGGCGGAATTTGTTATAAGACCTGGTTTGCCGAGTAATCCCAATCCACCAAATGACTACATCATTCAAAAGTTGAAAGAAAAATCATTTAACATTGTCGATCTCAATGGTAACAAACTTGCAACTAACTGTGAATTGTCATCAGTGATTCCGTGGACAGGTCAAAAACAAGTTTTAGTTACATTCAATTGAACAGAATAACCTACTACACAATACATAAATTTCTCTGATGAAATTAAAGTAGTAAAGTTAATTTTTCCCGTTTTTACAATTAAGTAATTCATTATTTTGCTACTGCTTGTTGTTATTTTATTCATTTTAATTGATACCTTTTTATATTTCATTCAATTTCTTAACAATTTATATTTTTAATGCAGAATACTGGAGTTGTCCCAACAGAAAGTGTGAGAACGGAGGCTCCTGTAGAGTTAACAATGCTGGAAGATATTCATGCATTTGTAAATCAGGATACGTCGGAAATTATTGTGATATAAATTTGTGGCCACTTTTGTGTTTGCCAATTATATTCTTCTTGGCTGCTCTTACAACTCTGTTTTTATGTCTCTACTTACGACGTCGAAAACGAAGACTCGGTACAGCCTTCAAAGGGTTTAAGAGTATTACAACTACAAGTGACACTACGAAAACTTCAAACACAACCGACAACACCACTGATTCTAAAGCCAATCCTTCGCCGTCGACAGCTGCTAACGACAAGAAAAAAGTTGACAACGAATCAACTGTGAAAGTGAAGCCCAGTCCTAAACCATTGCAAACTTTCTATCTCCCGTACAATAAGCCACTGACTGTCGGATTTAGCGATGTTCAGTTTAATGATATCAACGCAGATAATTCTGGGTCAAATCCTCCGCAATTCATGGCCGATAGAGGAGCAATTAGCAAAACTGGTGCATCGTTATATGGCGGAGGAAATGCTGTCGCTTCCATTTATGGAGGTCGCAGTATTTTGACTCAGCCGATAGAAGACCCAGATATCTACTACCAGACGATGGGTCAAAAAATGGCTCTTGCATACAACGATTACACTTTTGTTCCAACGGGAAGAATAAGCACTGCAGGAAGCGTAGTTTTCCATGGCCAGAATCGTGGATCAAACGGTGGAAACATTTATAACACCGTTGGAAACAATGTGACTGCCACAATGAGCAGTCGCGACCACGATGACGATGTGGCCAACGATGGCACTGGATACTACCATGCATTGGGACAGAAGCTGGCTATTACATTCAACGATTAAGGTTAGTTATATAAAAAATTCGTTGATTTATTTTTAAATAAAATTGTTTACGTTTTATTTTGTTTTGTAAGTAAAAGCTTGTGAATCAATTTTAATTAATTGAATGCCTGATGAATTATTTTTTCTGCATCGTTTTCTAAAACATCACCTATGTATCTTGTATAATCATTATTCGGTCTGAGAAGCTTCTGCAATGCAAGTAAAAGAACATCCAAGTGAGTTTTCATTCAACAGCTAAAGATGACAATCTCAAACAGGCTGTAAGTTTATTGAAAGCAGTACAATAACTGCATTGATAGGAATTGGGAGTTTTAATATTGTTCATGTTGTGATCACTCATGCGAATAAATCACTTGGAGTTGTACTTGTACAAAACTGAAAACTACTAAATGAAATATGGCTTAAATAAACATATTTAATTAATTTTCACTAAAATTTTATGGTGAGATAAAAGCAATACGTTATAAGATTATCAGGTGTTGTTTTTCATTTTTTCTGCTCCGACATTAATCTCTTCCTGCTTTGTTACCGTTTGTAAAGTTTTCGAACGATATTTGAACACATTTCACTGAACGTAATGTCTGAATATATTGTAAAAAGTTAGGAAAACATTTTACTTTACTTCATAAACCCCGTTATTTCAAAACAAACAGTTTCATTTATAATAGATCTCCGAATAAATTTGCAGAATGTGAAGTGTGAAACAAAAAATGAAAACACTGAAATAAAAATAAGTGGTCAACTTATTTAAACGATAATTTCAAAGGAATAAGTTGTGGGAAAACAACGAAATTATTGAAACACGGTAGGACTTCAGAGTATTTTGATTCGTCCAGAATCAAAATATGCAAATATGAAAATCGTCCAGGTTACAAAATATTAATGAAAGGAGAACGTGGAGGTTCAGAAAAGACATGAAACTTTTTTTGAGCAAACAATGTAAGGCAGTTTATCATTGTAAGCATTAAAATAAATAAATAATTAAATAAATATTAATTGATTTGTAAAGGTTTTTTCAGGTACTATTTACACTTGAACTGTTTGGCCTTAATGTCTTAAGAGATAATTTTTCTTTGCAAGATCGCATGTGACTGTGTGGTCCGATCTTTTAAATGCATATGCGATCAAAACTACACTACCACATTGAAACAGACCAAATGATGCTGTGCTTACACATCTTTTTTGTACTTGTTTTGCTTCTTCTCTGCCAACAACGATCCAACCAACCCTGATACCCGTTCTCCAAAATGCCCTGTCCAAAGCCAACTCTTCCAGGTTGTTGGCATCAATGTTTAATCATTTTATATCGCGCTTAAATTCAAATCTCTGACATGCTTATAAGTAATAACCGTACTAACATCCTGGCGCCCTGCCCTTCGAAGGACCTTTTTATTTTTTATTCAATTATTTTTTTTATACACTAGTACACTTGTATACAGTATGTGTTATGATTTATGTTTCAGACGTTTATTAACAGTCTAAAAACTCTTGTTGATTTTAGATGAATAAATAACTTTGATATTACAACAGCGAATGTGGATATTTTCACGAATCATCGTCATCATTGGTTCTGTCAATCCCATGGACGATCTACCTCTTTCTAACGCAAGTTACAGCAGTACCAACTTCTTCAGGCCCAGATAAGTGTCTTCGATGATTAAATCCAAACATTTTTTGGTTTTCCCCTTCTGCGTGTTCCACCTATCTTTCTAATCATTGTCATTTTTTCTAAGAAGCTGTTTGCCCTAATTAGTAATTACATGACCAAAGTAAGAAAGTGTATTTTTAATATTATCGATTTCAGAGACAACTTCGGCTCTATTCTTTCCAACCCATATTTATTTAGTTATTTTCCGGTTCATGGAATTCTTTATAGTCTTTGCCAGCACCATACTTCAAACACGTATATTCTACTTTTGTCTGCTTGTTAACCGTTCAAGATTCTCTTCCATAAGCAGCTATAGAAAACACTAATGTTTGAACCAGCTTTCCCTTAGTGGTCAAAGTGGTCAAAGTGGTCAAAAGAAGTTTTTTGACATAAAAATCTTAATTAAGTTGGTCATTGCCTTTTGTCCTAAAAATATTTTTTTATTTTATTGCTGCATTCACCTTTCTCATTAATCATTGATCCAAAAAATTAAATTCTTTCACTATTTCAAAATTTTCTTTCTCAACATTAAATGTTTTTGAGAATCAGTTCCTTAAAATTTTTGTTTTTTTTATTAGTTAGTGGAAATCCTGCTTTTTTATTTGCAATTTTTACTTTTATAATTAAATCTCTTAACCGTGACTTAATTTCAGCTATGAGGGTGGTATCACTGGCATATCGAAGATTGTTTATGACAAGCCCTCCAATTCTGACTCCAGTTTCAAAATCATTCAGTTCGGCATTTCTCATGACTATTTCAGCGTACAAATTAAACTAAAATGGAAATAAAATGCATCCTTGCCACACTCTTTTTTGAATTTCAAACGATTTATTTTCTCCATATATTGTGCGCACTGTTGCTTCCTGATTTCTGTAGAAGCTTTTGATTAGGTTTATCAAATGCCTCGGTGATTCCATTTTTTTCAAAACATTCCAAAGCAGATCAAAAGCCTTGTCATTTGCTTTTTCAATAATCCATCTTATGCTGGAAATGTGAATCCAGCCTGTACTTTCGATAATTCTCTATCTAGGTATTGTTACAATCGTGCTTGTATAATCTTCAGCATTACTTTGCAATAGTTCGATAGTTGGTGCAAACATTGGCTTTTCTCTTCTGATAGGTATAAATATTTATCTTTTTCAGTCATCTGGCTATTGTTGAGCACTCCATATGTTTTGGTATAATGAGGTACGTATTTGATTGAGTCTTTTTGTAAACTTTGTAGAAGTTTCATTAGAATTCTATCCATATCTTCGGATTTTCCTTTGGCTATGTTCTTTAAAGCTTCCCATACTTTACTTATTTTCAGAGAGTTTTCATGAATAGATAAAAAAACTATAACACAAAACAGTAGGTGGCCCCAATTCTCAATTTTTTGGTATTTAATTTATGTTTCATTTTCCAGACCGTATGTAAGTAATATGCTAACGTACTTTTATAGAAAGCATCCATATTATCGTTGTTTTGAAAATAAAAAAAGTTATGAATACATTTTTACTTCAATCTTAATGAGTTTAAATTAAACTTATGAAAAAACGTGAAACAGAATGTATGAGATGATTTCTTATAATAAAAATTGGAAGGGTTATGGTGGATGTTTGTCAGCAATCGTTATAAAGCTTTGTAATAAGCTACACAGTTGATGGCCGATCATCCAGCGTACTATGGCATACAGATTGGGATGTTGATGCATTTAAAATCAAAGAGACATATCCACCAAATTATGCTACTTAGTTACCAATTGGAGAAATCTCTAAATTAAACTCTACGCTGGCGCTTACATTTACAAAATAACATTTGTCACGTTTCTTTTTTCATTGAATTATATATATAGGAAGTGAAATGAAGCGTTTACTCTGAATTTTAAATTGGAAGCAATTGCGTTTTTGCACTGTATTTTTACAATTTAAGCGATTACTCCCTCAACATCAATTACCATAGATTGTGACGTCACTGTTTCTCTTGCTTACTGCAGAGCGTAAAATGGGAGTTACGATAGAGCAACTCCAGTTTAAAATTTCATGGCTGTAATACGCTAAAATATATTTAGTAGCCTGCCATTTATTTTGAGTCATTATATTAATGCCATACTGCGTTTAATGGTTAACAATTAACGCTGATAAATCAGTCTTTTTAAAAATTGAAACAAAGTTATATTTATTATGTGACTGTTGATGATTTATTTTTTTGCCGTAAATTGTGCGCACGTGCAACTTGTAACACATTTTTACGGTTAAATCTGGTACATTAACTGCTAAACTGTTTTTTAATATAAATTTTTATAACATTTATGAAGTGTTGAATAACAATTTTAATTTTTTGTCAGATTAAAAGAATGGAGTAGAAGAGTATTTGCAATGAACGAATCCCATTCATTCACTGAAGAATTAATGGTGAAATCTTGAACGCAAACTATAAATAATCAAATTTTCTTATTAGTAACGTTATTTTACAATATTTTTTAACGTTTCCAGCTGTGATTTTGGCGCCAACAATTTAAAATAAATAATCATGTTTTCAAATTAATATTTATTTATCTTCCATAAATGATAACACACTATTTCTTTGTAGCTAAAATTTTTTTTCGTTGTATTTATAATAACTTAGAATGAAATTCACTATGGTTAGTTAGACTCACGTGCTTTTAATTTTAAGGTTTAATCGCATTTCTGTAAATAAGTGAAAAATCAAAACAATCTTAGATAATCATTTTGAATATTGAAATCAGTTATTTTCTAACAAATTATTAACCATCATCTATTTTTTGTGGTGTTATTCCAAAACGTTTACCAATGACAGGTTGAATGTTTTATGATAATTTGTTGTCATCATTTATTTCGATGTATTTATAGGCTTGCGGTAAACAAAAATACACTGGTTTTATTTTAAAAAGTTTTATTTATGAAATATTTTTTAAAATTCCTAACTTTCAAATCTTCCATAAATAACATCAAATATTTTTCACAAACAAAATTTACATTATAACTGACTCTGCAATGCTTCTAAGTATAACCTCAACATGCACATGTCAACAATATTTCAAGAAACAAAACAAAACAACATAACAAAAATTATCACTCTTTATTCAACCTTTCAAGGCAAATTCTTTATTTATCAGGTATGATGAGCTAATTAATTGACTGCAATAACTTCAGGGCTTTCTACCTTCACCTTAACTTCTTTGTCGAGTTTATTTGAAGAGGTTGCAGTTGTTGGAGCTGAAAGATCGTCAGAGAAGTCAGCCACGATGTTTCTGAACTTGACCCAGGATTTTTCAGGTATCGTTATAGCCGTTCTAAAGTTGCTCCTAACCTTTAGATGTTACGTTCAACGAAAAAGTTTATTTTCAAACACATTCGATAATTTTCTTACGCAAGTAGAAGTCCTATAAAATAAAAGTTAAAGCTTTATTCGAAAAATATATTTTTTATGGGAAAACATGTTGATATTACAATAAGTAAAAATAAGAAACCCAAAACATTAAACAAATAAAAATTGTACGAAAAAATAGTGAAAAGTTCGTCATTGTTCATAGTCAAAATATCTCAACAAAATTCTTAAAGTAAATATTAATTGGAAATGTGTATAAAAATGTCAAATTATCAATTGAGTAGAACCTCAGATATTCTCATATATGTTCCTCTTTTGTTTTGACCGATGTCGAAGTAGAACATTTTATTGTCTACTTTCAATTGCCTCGCTCCTGGCATGCTGGAATCTACACAACCAAGTTTAATGGTACGAAGAACTTAAATTCATGTAATGATACGAACTTTTTAATAACAAAGTATTAATAAAAAGAACTAATTTAACAAGAACTCAGTAATGATTCATTTATAACGGTCACCTCGAACGCTTAAAAATTGAAACACAATACATTTGGTAGAAGCAATTTTGAAACAAATTGCTTATTAAAAATAACCATCGCAAGTGTAATCTCCAAATTCTTTCAAAAGCTCCGTCAGCGAGTCCCTGATCTCTATCATGCCCTGAGCTGGTATTCCTATTTGAAATCTCTGCCTTGAAAGGGGAATTGTCATGGCCACCTAGTAAGCAGTTCAACATTTTTCAACAAAATGCTATAATTTCTTTGAAATTATTGGCATTGCTGCTAACATATTTCATTTTAAAGTATTTTATTTATTACTTTTTTATTTGTTTAATGTTTTGCTTTCTTATTTTTACTTATTGTAATATCAACCTTTTGTCTGTTTGACAGAATTGCTGTTTAAAATTTTAAACTTCTAACCCTGAGATATCTTCCTCTTGAATTTTCTTTAAGGTCCAAGTAATAGAACCTTCTCTCATCTTTATTGATAAATTCACTTTTAAGAGTTCCCGTATCATCCATTTCTGGGTGTTCTGATTTCGGTCCTGCGTGTTGTTGGTTGTTAACCTAATGAGTATCACGCAAATAGTTTCACACGCTGCTTATTCTACAAGCAGCATTTTAAAAATTCATTTTACCTAAACCGGTATAATAATCAGCAAATATGGAAAGTTTGTCTCGGAAAACTGAAGCCGTTGCCATAGAAAATACCAAACGTTTCTTTCTTCCAGATACATCAACCTATTTTGAGATTCAATTTTATTTAATTGAAAATGATAAAATCAAAAACTATAATTACTAAACCTCAGCCATTTTAATAAATCTGCCTCTCTTGTTTTGCTTGACGTCGATATAGAATCTCTTCGACTGTATTTGAATGGTCTTAGAAGCTAATTCTTCTTCGGGGTTATCTTCTGACGCAAAGTTTTTTTTAAATAAACTCAATTAAATCAAAAAAATTGTTCAATACTTGTTAAATTACGTGTTGTATATTTGTTAAAATTGTTCGCAAAATTTAATTGTTGGCATGTGCATTTGTTAACCTTTCTTTTTCATATTTTCTTCATAATCGTTCCTCCCCGTCATTGTAATTAATAAAATCCCCCGACAAGTCCTTCAAAAAAAACTTGACCGGCAACGTTCAAACAAAACTTAACTAGCAACGAAACAATTTATCCAGCAGACTTAAACCAGCCAGCAACTATCTTCAACATAATATTTACATTATCCATTTAAGTTAAAAATTAGTTGGATTGCCGTTGTGTTTAATTACCCGGCACTCCCGTAAATGTTGATACATGAAATAATAATAAAAATAAAAATAATAAACAATTGCAGATTTCTATAATAAATAGGAGTTCATATTAGAACAACTTATGTGTACTAATAAATGAAGTTCACTTACAATTTGTTTATAAAACCTTGGCGTTGTGATATTAATATTATACATAACTGAATAAATGTTAACCGCTACCATGTTTATTAAAGAACAAGAGAAATTTCGAATTGTCAAAAATTAAATTTTGTTCAACATATATATTTTTATGGCTAATCTTATAAACTTGTAATGAAATAGCTAGTTGAATAAACAAATGAATGAATGAATGAATGAATGAATGAATGAATGAATGAATGAATGAATAAATTAATATATATATTAATATATATATATATATATGTATGTATATATATATATATATATATATATATATATATATATATATTTGTTTCATGAATAAATAATATATATATTAATATATATATAAATTAATATATATATATATATATATATATATATATATATATATATATATATATATATATATATATATATATATATGCTGAAGGAGACCATAATTGATGCAACATTTGATAAAATATACCGAATTTTTAGCTTTTGAAAGTTTACGATTGAGCTTTTCAATATTTCTAACAGTAATTTAGTAACTATTATCCAATTTATTCAAATTCATTAGAAAATCATTGGTGTTCATAGTGAACCGTATATAGGCCATATTTCGATTGTACTCATCAGCACTTATACAGTAATATTTCAAGATTTTACAATTTTCTGTGTATTCAAAGTGCTTTTGTCCTGCTTTGTCTTGTTTCGAAAATAGGGATGTGCGGCAGTGATATTTTTTAACAATTGTGTCTACAGACTTAACCCTAACTTTATATACGTTAACGCTGAAAATGCTGTGACTTTCCTAAAAAATTGTATATATGATTGTCTGAATCCTAAATTTACCACAAATGCACGGACTAAAAGTCCGAACAGTAAGGTTCAAACAAAAGCTCAAACAGTAACGTTGAAAATGCTGTAACTTTCCTGAAGAACTGTATATATATATATATATATATATATATATATATAAATATACATACATACATATAAATATATACACATATATATAAATTAGAAAATATACTAGTTCTGCTACTAGTTCTACATTTTCTCATTGTAGATCAGGTCTTGAAAAGTTTTGCAAGTTTTCTTTATGCTCAAATGATGATGTTAAAAAAATTCTTGGTTCGCCTACAAAATCGTTTTCACTCGACCTTGTTCCAACAAAATTCTCAAGTTGTATACCGACCTATTCATCCCATTCCTGACATTTTTTATTAATTTGTGTCGTTTTCCTAAGCCATTAAGCATGCCGTTATAATTCCGTTGTTGGAAAAACCATTCCTTTACAGAGATGATTTAACTAATTTGCTGCTGGTTCATCAGTCTGGATACAGACATAATTCCATCGAGACTGCTCTTATTTACGTAACATCTGAACCATTTACATTTAAAAATTCACGTCTGGAATATTGCGGCAATTTGTTTCATGGTCTACCAAGCAAACCCATAACAATAATTCAATCCATTCAAAATGAATAGAGTGGCAAAAATTGTTGTTGGAGTCAAAAGTTCGCTCCTGCAATGCTTATTTTGAGAGATCTTCATTGGTTAGAAGTCTAAAAACAAATTATTTTTTAAATATGCGTTTTAACGTTCAAAGTGACGAATATTAAATGGAAAAGTTTAAAAAGAAAGAAAAAATGTTTCAGCAGGCATTCTTTTGAGGTGGGGTGATGAAAATCTGATGGCTGTCTACATCACTTAACTGTGTGGCCTATAGGTTCCAAGAAAATTGCTGTATTCGGCCCAGTTCTGTAGAATGGATTGCCATTCCAATCGAGGGATTGCCATTGCAATCGAGGACACCAGGTTTGGGCATCGAGTCATTTAAAAAATTTTGGAAATAAATTTGTTTTTGACATGATAATAAAAATTTGTATTCATTTTTATTTTATTTTGCATTACGATAATTTTTCGGTTTTTCTTTTCATTTCTTTTTATGATTTTCAGTAAGTTTTGTGATGGTGCTTTTGAAAATTTAATTAGCGCTGCACAAATTATTTTATTATACACACCACACACACACACACACACACACACACACACACACACACACACACATATATATATATATACATACATGTAAATATATATATTATTTAAGCACATTTCAAATGAATTAGAAAGATAGTATCCTAGCAATGGGCAAAGGACGCGGCTGTTAGAGTGGGAGAAAGTGGTGTGCAACAAGTTTAACGCGTCGTCCATATTTTTTATAGAAATATTAACAAATGTTGAAATTTTGCAAAAAATATTCAAAAAATTATCATGTTAATGAATCTTTCGCATCTGTTTTTGTTTTCAGAAAAATATTTAATTACTTAGATGACGTGAGTTTGTCGAGATGCTTGCGAGTCAGTAAAGAGTGGAATTACATGGCGCAAGATGTCATTCATAACAAACAAATAAAGAAAAAATTACAACAAAATCATATTAATGAAAATGTGTAATTTCTTATTATTTATATTTTGCTCAAGTTTTTATTTTATATAAAAAAATACGATTTAATACTATGAGATTGCGATCGATTTAAATTAAAAGCCGTGATTGATCTAGGATTCAGTAGTTTAATTTACTTTTTCATATTAACGTTCAGAGATGCGAAGATAGGGTGGAGTGGAATGGCGAAGAGAACATTTTTTGTTGCCCGTACAACAGCACCATCATCGTTCCTCACCAAGATGGGTATGTATTGAAAAATAATTCTCACATATTCATTTCCATATCTATATAAATTTGATCTAGTTGATTTTTGAATGACAAATCGGCGTTGACAAGCAACAAATTAATCATACTCAACACCATAAATACATAAAATAATTATGAAGCGCCTTCAAAAAAAGAACGGTGACGATGAACAGCGAGACCATTGTCGTGACGGTGGACAAAAGATTTGTTGTCCTGCTTAATGAACCATTTCACACTTTGAATGCAAGTGATTCCACGCTGATGACATGCCACGTCGCATCCATCACGAAACTTGTCGTTGATCGCCAGGCTGCTCACGTCATCACGTCCAGCTACGACTCAACGATTAGGTAGAATCATTCGCGTTTTATTTGAATTTTTCTTTTGACAATTTCATTAAAAAGCTTCAAGTAATTGCTCAAGTTTGAACGAATATTTTAGAAAGATGATGTCTTAAATAAATTATAAGAACTGACTGAAGATGAATTTTCATGTTTCTAATAATTTCTAAGGGGATGCCTTCTACAAGCCAGGATATTAACAAAGACAGTACGCGGTAGAAGAAACACGATTTAATAAAATTTACCTTTTACACACCACACAAACTTTCAAATAAAAAACAATCTTAAGTAAAACCATTTCTGAGATTCAGCAGAACCTTTCTATAAACATATTGAGTGACGGGGTGACGACAATATTTAAAATATTATCTACACATTGGAATTAAAATTAACCGTTACACATGAATTCAAAGCTTTAAAATGCTGAAATCAAAACAATTAAAAACGAAATTGTCCATATTTGAATAATTTCGTGGAGAATAAAATTTTTAATTTTAAAATTAATATTTTTTTTAAATTTGTCAACATCTGTTTCGGTTTGTGAAAGAAATGATTGTCATCTATTTTTAATTTCAATGCTTCAAATTGAAATTAGCATGTAAGTAATGTATGAAAATTAATTTGTAGCCTGTTTCATTCAACTAAATCAAGGAAATGGTGCCTGGTAAGAAAAAAGTGCATCAAGCTGTTCACGGGTCATGCAGACGCCGTCAACTGCATCCATCAACAATCCCATTATTTGGCCTCTGGTTCGAGCGATAAAACTTGTAAAGGTAAAGAAATTATTCATCATAGGAAAATAATTTTTTTGAAATTTTTTAATTAATTTTCATAAGATTGTTTTAATTTTTTATAAATATTACTACCAACATTTGTGTGCGTGTCTCTAGAAGATGTCGCACTTTTAGAGGGGGAGGGGGTCAAAAATTGTGCGACACTTCGTGACCAGGATGAGAGGTACAAGCGTATGTGACATCACCTTTTGCCTTTTGTTAACAGGCTTTTTGTCAAAAAAATTTTTAACATTTTAAACCTGTTTAGTACGCGTCAAAAAATGTGCCTCTTAATTTTGGTTTGGTTCATCAAGCCACTGACAATGTACGTTTCTGTTTAGATCCAACGCTATTAAATGGGGTGTCTAAAAATTAAACTGTGACATGCTTTATATCGGGGTGACATCTCTTACGGACAGCCCTTAAACAGTTGTACGAATAAATGTACTAGCACTTACACAATTAAACAAAAACCTTTACAATGACTCGTCAACAATGAGACCTACAAAAACAGTTATGCAAACAATAAAAGTTAAAAAGACTAAAAGAAAAATTATGCCCAGTCACACACACACACCACAGATACACACACACACACACACACACACCACGTCAACTGCGCAGTATGGAACGTTGAGACAGGTCGGTGCTTGTGGACCAGCAGGCTGCAGGCTCCTGTGACCGCCGTGCAAATTCAGAGCATCAAATTTTGCTTTGTAGCCACCTCTACCGGCTGTATCAATATTTTTGAAATCAAAACTGGAAAATCGATAAAAGTATAAGTGTTCATTTTAAAAAATTAAATATTTTGAAAAATTGTTTTGTTGTTATAAACTTTCTGGCAATAAATTAACTTTTCCAATTAAATTATATTTACGTATAAAACGAAACTTCGAGCATTTAAAAGTATTTTTAATCATCTTATAAGATTAAAATTTAAAAGTATTTTTAAATAAATCTTATATTAAATTTATTAAAAACGGTTTTCTTTACCAGAAAATTAAAGTTCAAACGTGTTCAATCACCTGCTTAAAACTGAGTTCATGCCATATGGCTGCATCGGCAACGAATGGTGTTGTTACAATATTATCCTGGAATGTTGTCAGTAACGAGCCTGCTGAAGTAGAGTATGATTGCAATCGTGAAGAAACTTCTGCAAACAAATGTCAAATCGAACAACATACAAACAATGACATAATTGAGATAACTTCTCTTTGCTTTTTGAAACATAACAAGTAAATTAGGGTCTGCTTTATTTTAACAATACAAGTTGGTAGCAAAACCTTTTTAACCAGAAGAGTACAGTGTCTGGAACTGATCGATGAAGAACCAACCCTAATTAGCGGCAGTGACGACGGTTTTGTACGGTTGTGGATCAGGAACAGCTGCATCAGAATTCTTTACTCTACCCAATTTGCTGATCCAATCTCCCAAGTCATCGTAGTTGAAAACAAGTTTGTTAATTTCACAGGACAATACAATTTTAAATAAGCTTGGTGAATGCCGATAAATAAATAGACGAACACTTTATAACATTTCTTTATTCGTTGTATATATATATATATATATATATATATATATATATATATATATATATATAACATTTCATTAAAAGGCTTCTTATAAATTCCACATCGACGGTCACGTTGTTAACGTTCAAACAAAGAAAACAGGATGGCAGTATTGCAAATCAGTTTAGAATCAAAAGTTCTTTATCAGCATCTCATTCTGCTTCACCACGAAGACCACCATCACGTTTACCACCAAGACCACCATCATTGCCACCATCAAAATCAGCATCAAGATCATCATCAAAATCAATATCGAGATCAGCATACTCCGAACTTCGCATCTCATCACCATCGTTTCTTGAACATGCTGATGTTCAAACCAGAAAATTTTGAAATAGGATAATGCGATATGTGGAGACGAAAAAAGATATGAAGATAAAAGTCGTAAAACAAGTTGAAAAACTAAACAAGTTATTATCTCAAACAGTACTTAATTACTTGCCACAAGACCAGTGCTGTGTTAACTACTCAAAAATGTTGTTAACTACTAAGTTTAAAAAATAATTAACTATTTCTAATCTATTTTTATTTGCAGTTAATATTAACTACTCCTTAACTACTGCCATGTTGTTAACTAGTTAGTTAGCTGCTTTTAAACATTTTCATTCACTAGATTCCTTTGCTAAATGTTTTTTTTAATAAACAAACAGTTGTTTACAGTTCAATACACAAATTAATCATTCTATAATCTACAGTATGCTGTCATTTTCATTTTGCTTCACCATCAAGGCCACCATCATGGTCATCATCAAAATCAGCATCTTAAAAAAACCATGTTATCATTTATCTTTCTTTTTCACGCATGAACTTCCAATGTTTTATGATAAAGATGGGCATAGGAAAAATGTATGTTTTTTCTGTCTATAATTAAATAAATAAATAATGAATAAATAAAGGAATAAATAAATATGGTTAGCAGACATTCTGCAGCGTTTATCACTTAAAACTTGTCCTTGCAGACTGAACTGCAGGGCTAGGCAATGTTGAGTTTAGTTTTATGCATTATGAGCACACAGTTGAATACAAAAACAAACTTTCAACACCCCGAAACCGATAAGTAATTATCGAGAATTTTTTTAAACCGGTGTGTTCTACTGACATTATACCTGACATCTTATATTTTTCTTGCGAAATGAATTTGAATCTAAATAACGAATCATTTATATACAAATACAAAAAAGTAGGAATAAACTATTTAGAATTTTTTTCTAAAAAATTCTAAATAGTTTAGTTCTAAATTCTGTAAAAAAATATTCAAGTAGTTAATATTTAAGTAATTAACTGTAATAGTTATAGCTAGTAATTAGTTTTAGAATAGTTAACTATTAGCTAACTATAACTATTATTATCTAATAGTTAACTATTAACTACTCGAGAAAAGTAAAAAATTATAGTTGGTAACTACCCATCTCTGCACAGACCACACCAACCAAAAAACGAGAGTGATATTTACAGTGATATTGAATGCCGAGAATGATTAACAAAAATAAAAGTAATTCATATTAAGATCTGAAATTATTCTGGATATTTTGATTGATTAATAGACTGATTAACCGGTTTAATAACTTTACTGGTTGTTTGTGACTAATAAAACCGTGTCAGCGTTTCAGGCATCAGTACGAAACTGCAGTAAAAGTGCCAAAGCACGATTGGACGTTAATGGGTTCAACTGACCGAAACTTGTGTTTTCATCCTAATACTTTTTATTCTTTATATTTAGTACGCCGTGTTCCTATAAAAAATCCATGCAAGTGTTATGCAACTTTATCATTAATTTCCAACTTCTTGAATCAAATTCCTACATTCGTAATTTAAATCGTAGGTAATTCCCGATATTTTACAAAGTAATTTATTTTCTAACTTTCCAACCTCACTGTTTCATTATCAAGGTCATTTTCAACAGAGTTTTCATCTAAAAAATAGTTTAATAGAAAGATGAATATAAACAAATTTATCCAGGTGATATCAGTCGTTTCAACGACGCTTTCCATTGTTTAACTGTAACAGCGTAGGTACGCATCGCATGGGTTCTAAATAAAGCATTATACACATCAAACTTCAGTATTAGGTAGACGAGTTTCTTTGTATTCGAATCTGATCCCTGCAACGCGAGGCTAGACGCTCTAACTCCTCACCGTTCGAAATGGAAATGAAACGAAGACAAAGAACTCAGGGGCAAAAACCGCAAATTCGACTCTGTTCTGCTATGGCAAAAAGTTTGTTAAGTTCGGACTTAGCGGCTTCAAAATTCGGACTCGGTTGTAAGCAAAATTCGGGTTCGGCTCGATTCCCATTTCTATCCTAAACCAAGTTTATCAATACTAGGAAGGTAGTCATGAATATGAAATTTTGCTTTCATGTTTAATGAACGGAGGCTAACATTTAGTTGGAACAGACGTTTTAATTCTGAGTTTTGATGAAACGGAATGTTTGTTGGAACAATATTTTGTTGGGTTATCAATTTTAAACGACTTACAAAAATTGGCGACATTCAATGGTAAAGAAAAGCATACTCATTTCTAAAACGACGGACATAGTGAAGGAATTTTGTGAATGCCTCATTTAAATAAAAATGAAACAACAGTTAATAGGTGTACAAAAACGATCGCATTAATGATATAAATGATACACATTGATATTAGACCACTCGTGGCAATATTAACAACTTAGTTGTAAACAAACGAAAAAATATTTGCTCCTCCCAATACAATAAATAAATTTAATAAATACTAATGTAAAATAGAATTGTCTATACTTAAAGTGAATATTTAACATTTTAACGCGCTCAACTTTACATCCTGTTCTTTCTTGAGAAAGATTTTGTAGTTGCCAATCCTGCTCATAAGTGAGGCGATGGTTTCTTCTCCAATTTCATCCGCCCACAAAACTTGCATCAGTTGTTCAACATAGTCATCTTTCTCCTGGTTGATGCGATCCACATCCAGTTCTACCTTCGTGTTTTTATCGTTTCTGCTTTTTATGTCTTGTAAATAAATTGTCATCAGCATAATGACGCGTTTGAAGGGAGCATTGTCATTGTCGCAGTAGCCATGAAACATCATCGCCGCCTCACCAGCCAACCACTCCAAATGTTCAAAAACTGCTACATGACTTCCAGATGAAAATGAATGCTTCAACTTTTTATCTATATCCATTTTCAGAGCAGGAGGATCATCAGTTGAATAGATAAAATCAAACCTTACGACGTCGTTTCTGCTTTGATTAAAAAATTTAATTACTAAGTTAACGTAATTATCAATGAAGCAATTAACGGTTTTTTCTAGATTTTTATCTGATGCAACCAGTAGTATGACAGCCGGATCAGATGGACTATCTTTGTAAATGATTGATTTTGTTGCTGATTCTAAAATTTTCCAAAACCTTTTGCTTTGATTGGCAAAATCACGTTTTAACGAAACAAAGTCAGATTTGAATTCATCTAATTGATTATTGTGGCATTTTTGTTCTCCGCCGTTATCACAAAAACAGAGCCAGCAAAATAATACAAATAGTAAAAAAGTACAAAAAGCTAATAAACGACTCGTTGACACTGATTTATGTGACATTTTATTGGGAGCAGAACATTCGTCAAAAAGTTTTTCTTCTGTTGTATGATGAGTTGGACTTGAACCAACAGCAACAAATTGCTGAAAAGGTTTTTCATGAGAATCTCCATGCAAACTTCTTCGACGTTTTATTTCTTGAAGGTAGGATTTTTCTGGCGTTTTGCGAAAAATTTCTGAATCAGAATTATTACCACCTGATTGAAAACTTTTGTTTTTTGGGCTGTCGTTGCTATCATCATCTTTCATTTGTGCGTCGGATCCATGCGTATCATCGCTATCATCTTCTGACTGATCTTCTACTTCCATTTTATTAGCTTCGTGTTCACCATTGTAAAACCCTTCCATCGATTCCTGTCAAATTTATTTTCAATGTTTTTAAAAAAAATACTTAAAATCAGTCGATGTAGTTGTTTTTTGTATTTTCGTAGTAAAATTAAAATTACTTTATTTTTATGTTTTAGGACATTCTGAAAAAATTCAACTTATGCATCATAATTTCATCTATTATAACTAAATAAAAAATACTTTAAACAAACATTTAAAATCAGTCAATGTAATTGTTTTTCTTGGTCAAATTATTTTATTTTTATGTTTTACAACATACTGAAAAAAATTATTTGATTTTATTCACATTATTAGCATTTATTTTCAGTATTAAAGATGAATGCTTATCGCTACATTTATTCTCTAAAAATCACAATCTTAAAAAAAGTTTCATGAAAAAAAATTTTCAAAAATAAGTAACATTTCCCGGAGTCAGATGAAAGAATCCAATCCAACTCCGACTCCGGGCTCCCAAAAAATTCAGGTTCCATGTCAATTGTTTGAACAATTGACCTGATACCAAATATTCAGATTCCGGCAAAATTCACCGACTCCGTCATTCTGTTTAAAAGCACTATACAAACGATAAAAAAAAAACAAAAAACATTTGCTTTATGGTTAAAAATGGCGCCAAACAAAATGAATTTTCCTTTTTTTGACATTTTGAAGACCAATAGCTCGAAAAGTTGGAAACTATTATGTTTATCAATTAAGAGTATAAAGTACTTTAAATATATCATAAAACAATTACATACTTTGCGATTATTTTGAACTTTGCTTTGAAAACGTAAAAATTTTCAAAAAATTCAATTTTTTCGAAATAATTTGTGCCAAACAACCTTTGATTCGGGACAATAAATTTTTTCGTTCTGTTGTAACATTTGTTTCATTGAAATGTGCAAATTTTGTATTATGATTTATTAGCAGGCTTGAGAGATATGGCGTATACATTCATATATATTCATTCATAAGATGGGGTCTCGTGGCCGAGTGGTTAGCGTGTTCGTCTACCACTCCCACGAGCCGGGTTCGAACCCTGCAGTTCCTACAGGTTCATCCGGGTAGCCGACCCCCGACCAATCCAGCCATTCATTCTTTCGAGGCTGGTAAATGGGTAGACGACGTAAGTTGTCGCATGTTGGCCGGCGAGATGGCTTAGTGGTTCAAATGCTCGCTGAGTCAAAACATCTCAATGGCTATCATATACTCAGCGTATATGATGCGGTGCTTGCGCGGGCACATAAATACATGTGTACGTCGTGTGAAAAGAATAAACAGCCTTTGTGGCAAAGATGGATGCTTCAAATCAATGGTTGTAGAAGATATGAAGAACATAATAAAAGATATATAGATAATATATCAGTAACATTTTAAGTGGTGCTGCTTATGTCAGAGCTGCAATAATGAAGACTAAAAAAAAGATGACTATAGCCATCTTAAGCCTTCGAATAGGAATGCACATAACAAAAAACTAATGTAAATAGATGAGAAAAGGAAAAATTAAGGAATAAAAAAATATTAACAGAATAATTAACAGGCTGAAACTATAAAGAAAATAAATAAACAAGTTGTTTTATAGAGTGAAAAGTTAAAAGTCAGCAGTTACATATCCAGATTTGCATATGTAATGGCGTGGAGCATCATGTCACAATGCAATAGATCTCACTTTAATTTGTTGAATGCTTGCAGCATCAGCAATCAGCATAAGTGCACGACATGATGGATGATGTCAAATATTTATAATGTTTTTATTAAATGATTGTGAGTTTAGTTTGAATGTCTATCCACGAAGATTGTACATGTGTTTTGAGGATCTAGAAAAGGCTTTTTATAGAGTACCGAGGAAGGTCATTGAATGGGCTTGGGGAAGAAAGGAGTGAATGAGAGACTTGTTAACGCTGTGATGCAGCTGTATGAAGGGGCGAAGACAAAGGTGAGGGTCGGAAGGGGGGGTGTCGGACACTTTTAGTGTTAAGGTAGGAGTGCATCAAGAATCAGTGTTATCACCGTTTTTGTTTGCAATTGTGATGGATGTTGTGTGTGGAAACATAATGGAGGGGTTGTTATTTGAGATTTTGTATGCAGATAATTTAGTCTTGATGGCAGAAAGCATGGAAGAATTGCAGTTAAAATTTGACAGATGGAAAAGTGTTATCGAAAAGAAAGGGTTAAAAGTTAATATTGGTAAGACGAAGGTAATGGTGAGTGGGGAAGGTGGGGAGTGAGTGATAAGTAAAATAGACCCCTGTGGGGTATGTGACAGGAGAGTGAAGGCTAACTCGGTATTGTGTATAGGATGTCAGAAGTGGGTGCATAAGAGATGTAGTGGTGTGAGGGGGCACTGAAAAAGGTGGAAGGCACGTTCAAATGTAAGAAATGTGTTCATGGTGTGATTAATAGGACGGACGCAAGAACGGGGTTGAGTGGTGGTAATGAAAGAGTAGAAATCTTTGTTTATTTAGGGATTAAGCTGAACGCGAATGGAGGATGTTTGAGTGCTGTTACGGCTAGAGTTCGTGTAGGATGGATGAAATTTAGAGAACTGGGTGAGGTATTGTGTGGAAAGAAATGGTCAGTGAAGATGAAAGAAAGGGTATATAAAGCATGTGTGAGAGCAGCGATGGTATATGGTGGTGAAATTTGGGTGTTGAGGAGAGAGGAGGAAAGTGTACTGCAGAGGGCTGAATGAGCTATGGTGAGGATGATGTGTGGGGATAAAGTGAAGGATAGGAGGAATAGTACAGAGCTGATGTCGATGATGGGACTGAACGAGGACATTGTGACATTGATAAGGAGATCGAGATTGCGGTGGTATAGACATGTGTTAAGAAGGGATGAAAGTGTCGGGATTAGGCGAGCGTTGGAGTTGGAGGTTGAAGGAGTGATAGGAAGGGGTCGTCCGCGATTGGGATGGAGAAAGCAGGTGGAGAAGAACAGAGTGAAAGCGGGGTTGCGTGATACTGAGGCGAGTGACAGATGTGAATGGTGTAGAGGGTATTTCGGTTTCATCATAGGTAGCCAAACGGCAACCCCGATCTCGGGAAAAATGTCGTCTAAACGTGTGTTGTTGTTGTACCCTTTGGTCCTTGTGTCTCATTCATCAGACGTGGAAGGCTCAAATCAGGGATATGATTTATTAATTTATAAACCAGAATCAAAGTTGATTGCTTCAAATATTTTAACCCATCTTCATTTGAGACCCACGCCTAACCAGCTTCATAGCTCATAGCTCACTTCTCAATGTCTTCTCTTGCCACAATGTCTGTTCTTAAAGTTATTGTTTAAATGGATTGTAAATCTGACTTTTTGAAGAAACTCATGGAGAATAAACGCAGTAAGTTTTGATGATAACTTAACCAATGTTATTACCAAGTGATGTCTGGTTGTCAATAAAAATAACAAGATCTGTAACTTAATCATAAATGTTAAATTCAGACCATTTATGCAAATACATGCAAATTCCACATTGCTTGTATTCAGAATTAACTTTCAAATGTCACATCGCCACTTTTTGAAGTTATTCCTATCTGAAATTGTAAGCAGTTGAGAAGATTCAAAAAAAATGTTTCATGTCTTGTAACTGGCTTAAAAACTGAATAAATCAAAACTAAAATTGCAGAACTCTAAATAAATAACAAAAAAAATTAATTAACTAACTAAACAAAACAACAACACACGTTTAGACGACATTTTCCCCAAGATCGGGGGTTGCCGTTTGGCTACCTATTAACTACCTATTAACTAGGTAAAGTAAGTGTTAATTAATAAAACCAAAATTTAAAATTATACACACACACATATATATATAAATATATATATATAAATATATATATATATATATATATATATATGTGTGTGTGTGTGTGTGTGTGTATTGTTATAACTGCTGTAATGGTCAAATTGTGCTAAATTGTGCTATATTATTCATTATCTTGATTATTCATTATCTTTGTTATATTTGTAATCTTTGGATTTTAAGAATCCATTGTATATAAGGAGGTTGAATAGCGAAGTCAATAGAGAGGTTTCTAGGGAGGTCTGAAGCAAAATTGTAAATGTTATTTATATAGATAGTTACTTGGATTAGTTTAGTGTTTCTATTACTGTTGGCATTCAAATGAACATTTTAAAAAGTTTGGGTTTGAAGCAGTTGTGTTCATTTATCGGAAATCCTGATTTGTTATTTGCACTAAAAACCAACTACGTCCTAAACTCTTTGTTAAAATTAACATTATTTTAATCAACTTCATTATAACACTTTATTCTTAAGCTATAAATAAAAAACTAAATTTCTATAATAATCCATCTCAGAAGATAAGGCACTGACATTGAAATGTGGGAAAAATAAAAAACTTATAAAATAAAAATGACGCTTGAAAATTTAATTCAGGATTATGATTATGTCATGAAAATAAGAAATTCATTAAAAAATTGTAAGACTTGAAAACAAAGAAACAACCTGGCAAATTTGATCAGGCTCAACAAAACAAAATATATTACATTATAATTATATATACATATTATATGACAATAATAATAATTAATCACTAACATTAAAGATTAAAGTTTAATGTTCCCAGTGTCATATATAAATATAATACAATAATATAAATATAAATAATTGTATATGTTTAACTTTAATATTTAATTTAATTGTTTAATGAAAAAAATAACAACTACAACACGATACAATACCAAAATACCTGAATGATTAGAATAAATTATTTGATATTACTAATAATAATATATCGTAATTCAATTAGCTAATCAATCAATCAATCAAAAAGAACAAAAATAAATACCAATACCGGTTTTTCAGAATTAGTAAAGTTTTTAATTGTAATTTTCAATTGTTTTAAATAAGAAATAAACTATATAAACAGAATGCTGTGCAAATAAAATTTAAAAACAATTTTTATTAAAAATAAAACCAACCAAATTAACTTTTTCGACCTTTCGAAACCGAAACTGTCAGCGAAGTC